GATTTTTCAACTAATTTGTTCTAAAAACCTATGAAATTATGGATGTGTGCGGCTATTTGTGTTTCAGTTGTATATAATTTTGTTCTTAAAGTAAAAGGCAATGAAAGCGAGTAGTGATGTACTCGGACATAGACATTTTTGCATTTTTTTTTTCATAATATCTCAGACAGCAGTAAAAATTGGCTGTAAAACTAGAACAACCTTAACAATTCCAAGACCCGATCCACCACCAACATTTGATAATTCAGAAACAAGATTTCCAGAAAGCCATAAAAGCAACAACCATTCAACCGGATAGGGTACGATACTTTGCACTTCATAAATTTTATGTGTCAAATTGAGCACCACAATCGTTAACAAGATAGTGAAATAGATATGAGACACTGAAATGAAGCCAACAACAGAACTGATATTACAATATAGCGGAGGGGGAGGGAAAGTAATCGAAAAAGTTCGTAACAAGTGACAGTTCGTAATTACCACGATCATTTAGAGTTTAGACAGCCTATCTTCTAGGCATTCGTTTCTCTCCTTTTGTTGTTTTTCGGAAAGAGATAACATCTCTGACGTTGCTTATCCAGCTTTGCCCAATCATCTATTAGCGACACTTACATGCCCCTCCGTAAATATTTGTATAGGATTATGTCGAGAACTAACTATGTAAGGGCTCAAAAGATATCGTTTCTTCGCGAATGTACGAAGCAGTGCTGAGCGGCAAAATACATCTTTTCAGCAAGAAAATTGATTTTCTATTTTTGCAAAAAATTTACCGATGTGACAAACAAATTTGATGATTGGAGCACGTCCAATACGTGTGTCGAGAGGCAACGAAAAGTAGAACCATGCCGGCGGGCAAATGAGTGTCATCAGCGTGAACGCAACCGTCTTACCAAATGACCAATCCACTCGCCCAGTCCAAATTTCAGTGAGATAGCGCTGTACCGATGCATACGATACCACCTCTTTCTGCAGTGCATTCTGTACAACGAAATCTACGCCAAACTCATTTTAAGCTTTCCGCGGAAACTCGAAAACTGCTCAAGATGCAGCAGCCGCACGGTAAAGAGTAAATAGGGAAGTGCCATACGCACAGAATATAGGTGCTCCAGTAAAGTGCGTGGGGTACAAAAAAAAGGTCCATAGTATAGTGGTTTAACAAGTCGCATCCGGATGCGAAGGCGAGCGGTTCGATTCCCAAGCCATTTATAGCCGTTTTCGAAAAACGAGTTCCGTTCACGACAGGGTTGGATCATATATACATAGTTTTGGATCATATATATATATATAAAGTTTTTGAGTTATATACATATAAATCATGTATATGCACTCATGCATATGTGAAAAAGTTTTTTAAAAATTGAACAGCCCAATAAAAGCTGTTTTAAGTACACAGAAAACTCGAATTATATACTACGTACTACGAAATTCAAATTGCACCGCTGTGACTACAGATGTGTTGTCCACGTATGTATTTTACATGTGTATGTCATAAACTTTTTCAGCAAAATGCTGGCATTTTGCGAAAAATATATACGCTACAGCCGATATACAAGTGGATCAGAATATATGCAATTCTAACTTTTTGTGCATCCTAAGTAGATATATAACTGTGGTAACATTATCCAGCTGGAAAATATACTTAGATTTTTAATTGCTCCACAAAATTCCGTACCTGTTCATTTTCGATGAGCACATCAAGCAGGGGCCGTCCACGATTGTCCTTTGCCTTTAATAACAGTGCAGCATTGTATTCTGTTGCTGTTATGCCCAGTAATTCAACAGCCATATTTTCGGCAAACTCAGACACATTTAGCAAATCTCTGGCACGTTCCTGGTAGACTGTTTTATTAAAAAAAAACAGAGCCTTACACTGGCTCGCAATCAAAAATCAGCAGCATTTTTAAGTTCTTTTGAGTTTCCACAGTTCAATGCACTGTAAAATTTCCAGTTCTTAGTGACGAATATTAAAGTTACAAGAAAAGATTTTTTTTTTCTGCAAATAATCTTTCCATCTGTATTTGCGAAGGTGCCTCAAAAAATTTTTGTTAAAAAAATCAGAAGCATCAAAACGCCATTGGTATCAGCGTGTGTATCTTATATTTAAATTGATTTAGTGGGATACCCCAACACGTCGGGACAAATATGTCGGACCTGCCGGAAATGAAGCCCCTTTTTGAAAATGATCCTGGACGGACAGAGAATCGAACCATTCTCCATCACATCTGGACGCGACGTGTTGCCCACTACACCACTCATCCTTGTGCTCAGTTGAGCCTGTCAGCAAATCTACTGTGCGCCCGCCCTTTTAGTGTATCTCATAGGCAGTCTACATCTTTTTCTTCGTAGTGATTTTTTCGTTTCGCAGGTTTTCCTCGACAGTGCCTTTATGTCCTGCATAAATTCAGCTAGTGCTCACCGTTTGCATTGTATTGGCCACCTCTTAATTTGACTGCTATCTTCAGAGCAGCCCTTCGGAGATTTTAAGTTTATTCAGAACCTTCAGCATTGTCAGAGCGAGCTCACAGCCTGGCGAGTTCTAATTATGTATTCCGAGCTTCTATTTGTACAGTACTCCTCTCCTGGTACCACATTTGCAGTTGAACTGCTTTTATTCTCTTAGTCATCGAAGCTTATAGAGATTCGTCTCACGTAGCCTTGGTTAGGCAGACATATGAATTGCCCTTTCCGAACATTCAAAAAACAATGGGATTTTTAAGAGGCACAACACACTGTAAATTATTATTTTCAGAAGATTAGCTGAAAATCGCAAACCTTTTCTTTTTCGCTCATTTCGCGATATAATGCGGACAACTTGACAGCAGTATCCATTGGCGCTGGACTCTGGAGGATGAACTCCCTTAATGGCTCGTTGTCATTTGTCTTGCCGCACACCATCAGATCAAAAATGAACTAGAAATGTTTGATTTAAAATATTCGCAACAAAAAGCATTCTACTAAAATCGTTCATGTAATAAAGTCCAAGAAATATCGTTGAAAATGTTAAAAAATTCGAACTTTTCTATCTTCCATTAATGCATGTGTGTCGTGTTTTTGTTTCAGCAGGAACCGCAGACAGTCAATGTGATTATGTGCTGCTGCAAAACACAGCGGTACCTGAAAATTGTACCTTTTCCACGATTTGCTTTTAATTCACGACCTGCCAGACAACAATTCAGTCTCAAATTTCATAATTCCCAAATTTAATTTGATTACGATTGCAATATCGCCTATTCAGTGCGATAATTTCTTGAAGCAATGTCAAAAGTTATTGCATATCTGGCTTCAGAATTTCGAAATCTCACCTTCCCTTCTTTTGTTTCCGCTTGAGCATCTGCTGAGCTTTTCACGAATAGTTTTACAACGTTGAGATGGCCTGCTTTGGTAGCATAATGCATCCCAGTCCAACCATTCTTTAAATTTTTCATGCTGATAAAATTAATTTCAGAATTTGGGAAAATTATTAGTATTCAAAAAAGCCATACTTATCTTTAGTAATTAAATTCCAAACAAATTTTGAAGTTCCACGCTCTTTTTTTAAACTAAAATTTGAGAGTTCTTCTAGTCGGCAGAATACTTGATCATAGCTTAGGAGGAGCGAAGCCTGAGGCGAGATGGTGATGCTCAACACATTTCAATCATATTTCAAAATGATAAAGCTTTGCCAAGTGCTTCGAGTTGAAGACAACTGAATTCCTTCAGAAGCAGAAACGAGCGTCAAGCTAAGCCTACTGAGCAATGCAACCCTGGTCAAAGCAACTTGAAAAGTTACTGGCTGCATAATTGGTGGAAACGCTATGATTTCGAAGATTCAGGTTTAAACTTTATTACGAACGTTGTGTGCACTGCTGAACAAAGTACCTGATCCATAACATTAATATTTGATCCTTGAGCAATGAGTAATGAAACCATTTCGTAATGTCCATTCATGGAGGCCAAATGTAGCGGTGTACGTCCACGCCAGTCCTTAGCATGCTGCTGTTGTGTGGATCGTGAAAGAAGCATACCAACAACAGCTATGTGCCCCTGTTGGGCCGCCAGATGCAGTGGAATCACGCTCTACAACAAATTCGGAGATGAATTCGCTCTACAACAAAGTTCATTATACTTATCAAAAAAGTTCTGTGTACTGCTCTGGAAGTTTGCCTAGAAAGCTCGTTTT